TTTATATATTTATTCGTATTATGTACCCTCTGGATGACTTTAGTTTCTTAGCTTTTTATTGCTGCTGTTTGAATCCCAAATGTAACGAGTATTTCTATAATACTTTTGTACTGGGTACTTTGGTATCGTAAAAATTCACTATTTACTTCGCGATACCGAGCAAAGACTAGATAGTCTAGTTTGAAAATTTTGATGAAATATTTTAACAGTAGGATATGTAAAATAGTTTTATTATATAATGTGTACTCGTAATTAAAGGGTAAAGTATTTAGGAGCAACAGAAACGAAAAAAATTCTTAAAACACGATACTCACCGCAGACAACCAGTCAACGGAATTTCGTCTGTGCGTAATAGGATTATTTCCGTAACTCTTCGGTTGGGCGACGGAGCTAATTGAAATTTTTCAAACATGTCTGTCTGCCCTAAACTGTCAGACCCCACACTATATCTCTTACCCTTTAAACGAGCAATTCTTGTATATATATATATATATATATATATATATATATATATATATATAATTGGAATCTCGGAAATGGCTCCAGCGATTTTCATGAAATTTAGTATGTGCGTAGATTCGGGGACAAAAAATCGATCTAGCTAGATTTCATTTTTAGAAAATGCCCTTTTATCCCTGTCTTCAGGGAATGAAAAACATCATTCGAATACGACGGTAAATTTCACCGAAATAAAAAATGTTATAATAGCTCGGTCGGTAATCGGGCGGCCACTAACAAACAGCCACGAAACAGAAGGCCGTGGTTCGTATCACGAACACACACTTATTTTTTTTACTTTTTTTTCGATTCCAGATCATTTCTTTCTTTATCTTTTATTTTTTGTCGATTTGTTATTTTGTTATTTTTTTCCCTTTTTTTTTTAAAGTTCTTTCTTTTGTGAAAAACACCAGTTCATTTTTCTTATCATTACGTCGGTAAGATCGAAACATATTATGCATATTTCATTACTTAGTAATTTGTATCTAAATGTAATTTCCAAAATACACGATTTACCAAAAAAAAAAACAAACCGAGCAAAGCTCGGTCCTCCAGGTACTAATATTTAACCGTTAACCACTTCCCTTAGTGTTTTATCCATTAACACGCTAAATAAATATTTCAAGACAAATTTTAATATAATGCTATCTAGCCCCAAACTAAGCGATGCTTGTACTATGGACATTAGGTAACTGATAAACATAATTAAACAATAATAAACTTAAACAAAACATTTAAATTAATATTTTACCAGTCGGGGTCGAACACTACTACTGGTAAAATATTATCTACCCACACTCTTTGACGCAGGAGCCACTACGCCATTCGGATTGTCGAATTTATTAAGTTTTACGTAGTAAAGTAATACGAATAAGGTAACAAATGTATTGGTAAGAGTATAATGAAATGCTTGGATAAAAACCATCCAGGCTAACTGAACATCGGTGACTGTTTAATACCGTACTACCTTTGCGTTTTCGTAAGCACTTGTTTATGAAAAAAAGCCTTATTAATATCCGTTTACACGACTTCTCTAGATACGGAATGTTGTTATTACGAATATAGAATTTTCTCCCCCACCTGGGAAACAAACGGTTCGAACCCGCCTTTTGAAGTGTTCGCAGAAGAACTCACGCCTATTAAGTGCCGCTTGGCAGTTGGCACGCGTCTGAGATACCTTAACGGGCGGTTCATTTGATACGAAAACGTCGAATGCATTAACTCGCGTCGTTAATAGGCGCGGTGTCTATAGTTAAATAAACTACGAGCCGTTATGACTTCGATGAGGTTTCAAGTTCATGCGAATACTGTGGATTTTAATATGTTTTATTTTTTATTAAAACCAAAGTTGAACGGGCTAAAATAATTTTATTTAAACTTTTGTTATGAACTCTTTGTGTCAATAAACTTATACCGCTTAAGAGGTGATGAAAACGAAAGTGGCGCTTAAACTTTTTTAGGTATCTCTTTAAAGCTAGGGATCTATGTTAAAGCTGGTGAAAATGGGCATAAGGCTTACGAAAAGCATTTAGCGTTATATTTATCTGTCTATGAAGGTAAAGAGTAGAAGAAGGGATTTTATTTTGTTTATCAAAACATGTTCACGCTAACTGCGCTTGGCCAGCCACTAAGCTGTCTTTGTAGGAGAGTAGGCAAGTAAATGTTAACATAAAGTAGTTGTGATTTAGAAAAGAAAAATAATATAGGGTTCGAATTTATTATTACTTATTTATTTCGGATAATTGGCATAGAATAAACAATCAGATCAACGCTCTCTGTCAGTCGACTTATTTTAAAAATATCAAAAGGATATATATTATATATCCTCACGTAATCTGAAACTAATCATTCCGGTTAATAACCTCATCCACTTAAGCAAGAAAACAAATCACCAGTTCCCCTTTGCATTCAAACTGTCGACCTTGGGCATTATGTCAACTCTAACAATGTATCTAACAATCTCGCACGTCCTTTAAACTTGAACGTGACAGATGGCCCAAGACTCATATTCACAAATGCGAGAGAGTGGTTTTGTAGAACCAAAATTACCATTAAAGTAAAAAAAAGTAACAGGCTATACATGTCCCGCTGCTGGGCAAAGGCCTCCTCTATACAGAGGGTATCAGGGCATAGTCCACCACGCGGCCCCACTGCGGATTGGCGGACTTCACATATCTTCGAAATATTTTTTTTGTTATTATTTCGAAATTATGCAGGTTTCCTCACGATGTTTTCCTTCACCGCGGAGCACGTGATAAGTCAGCACTTAAAGTTAAAAACTTCATTGGTACCGGCACCGGGGATCGAACGCAGGTTGCTCGAGTATATATTGAAATAAAGGCGAGCGCCGGGACACTGAGCTATTAATCTAATAAAATTTTCGGGTTAAGGCAAACTAATCCAAAGATTCAGTGGCTTTTGAATAAAATTGTTTTGCGCGTTGCAACGGTATTCAATCAGTACAATAGTTTTACAACGCATGTTGCCTTGAGATTCGAACACACGATCTCAGCTCGCAAGTGCGTCCTAACCGCTGCCAACACCACCATATATCTATGAATAACCTAATTTTGTAGTAGGTATTCGCATGGGCAGTTAGCAGTTGGTAATATACTGTTAACACACATACTGACATCGTGACGGGCTAACATAGCGAACGAATTCGGTTAGCGATATCCGGAACGATATGCGGTTATACTGAGCTAAACGCTCTCTTTGCAACGCATGCCCGAAGCGGTTACGGGCAATTCGTCCCGCGACGGTTTTGATGTGTTCTAAAATTTACCCGAAGATCGAGCTCTGAATTGTTTATTGTAAATTATTATCAAAGGAGTTAGAGACTGTCTTGGGTTCATAGATGTTGTATATTTGGGTTACTTAGATGTTTCATACGATCATAACACAAACATCTGCGTGAATAATATAAAATAAACTCCAAATGTCGCTGTATAAATTATTAAAATGTGTTGTTTTACGAACGACATAATAATAATATCAGATAATTTTATTTTTGAATGCGCCATATTTAATTTCTTTCATAATTTCCTTTTGTCCTTTCATTCCTTTTATTCGTATTATCTGTACAAAATTGGGGTGGGTTAGGGCCACGCAGCAGCCTCGGCTGTTGCACGAATGGGCAGGCCCATCCGGGTAAGTACCACGACCTCACAGAAGACCGGCGTAAAGTGGAAGTATGGAAAATACATTCGCGTTTCGTCTGGTGAGTGAGGTAGCCGGAGCCCAATTTTGAAAAGGTTGTCAACGCATCTGTAACCCTCTGGTGTCCGTGGGCGGCGGTTTTCACTTAACATCAGGTGAATCGTCTGCTCGTTTTCACTTTTAACATAAAACAAAATGTTTCGTCTGGTGGTTTAGATAATCAGGACTCCGCCATCTTGAAGGCCTCTTGTGCCTGCATCCCCTCTGGTAGCGGATGTCCATGGCGGTAATTAATTTAATTATGTAAATAATTATTTTGCCCTTTACAAAATGGACGAACTAAATCATAATCAGCCTTGATACGTTAACTGTAATTCGGGAATCATTTGGATGGGTTTCAATATGAATGGACAATTAAGTTGATCGCAAAGTTAATTAAAAAAATTTCTTGTTATTGAATTGAGTATTTGATTTAATAATATTACCGTCTCTCATTTGATTTGGTCATAATTTCTGACGCGGGGGCGGAATTCGGCGATTATTATAGTTTGGCACAAGCTTAAATATAAACAAAACATATTATTAATTGCAAGAAAAATATTAACAACATTTGGAAATACCGATTTCATTAAACTTAAAGCTTAATTTTAATAAAATTTTTGGACTGCTACCCTTATTTCGGATTTGAAACAATTTGACCACATCAAAATTCTTACTTTACATCATCAGATGAAAGACGTTCCCAGTAGACAAAAGCAGCCCCCCTTAGGAGGTATACTTGCACGCCACAGACGTCGCGTCCCCTCAGTTCTTTCTTTGTCCGAGCCTTCCTGTCTTTGTCCTTCAACCGACTTCAAAAAAGGAGAAGGTTCTTCCCTTTCACTCTTTTTGTATTTAATAATAATAATAATAATATCTTTATTCACATAGACGCTTGCGCGTTCTTGTGAAACGTCAAAATTTTACAAAGAAATTAATACGTTCGTAAGTTACCGCCGGTTCGGAAAGCAGTTTCTGTTGAGAAGAAACCGGCAAGAAACTCAACAGTTGCTCTTTTTAAAAAACATCAGTTTACAACAGTACAGATACAATAGTCTTGTTTAGCCTACGTGAGTATCAACAGTATTGGGTTTGGTTTAGCTCCGATATGGTTCCATCTTAATTTCATTGCTATTGGACCTTTGAATCCAGAGATATAGAAAGTGTTCTATTTGAATTCGTTTTTGTTTTTGTTAGTAAAAATGAGTTGTCCTGTATAATTTACGTTCGTGAAACGCTTGCACAACACAGGCATGTTTTATGAAAGGATTTATTAAAAGATATAATTTCCTCATCATCGTAAAATGGTTTCCACTCTCACCGCCCCGCTACCGCTCGTGGCTTGCGCGCCGCGTGCCACGTGCGCCGATCGTGTGGCGAAATTCGTGACCCAGTGCCTCAGCGCGTGCCATATATTTTTATCGCCGCCAGTTACGTGGCCGGGACAACGGTTTTTTGTGCGCGGTACCGCAATACGAAGCCGCTCGAGCCGATCGCCCGATCCGTGCGTCGTTTAGCTTTTGAATCGTGACAAACGAGGACTGGCCTTATTGACTGACTAGTCTATTGTACTCAATTAGTGCAGATTGAGTTCTTAGTCATGGCTCGTGTCACTCAGACGAAAAGACAATTTGCACACTGCGCACTTCTCACTTTTAGTAATAAATAAATAAATAAATATACACCACGGATTGTCGTTTCAGTAAGATATTTCCGAAAGGATATCACATTGCTCCAAGAAGAATAACTCAAAAACAACGAATTTTAGTATTATAAAAATCAGTAGCATTTTTTTAAATTTAATTTGAAAAGAAAGAATTACAATAATTAGTCTGCGGGAAATTACAAAAAAAAAAAAACCTCCTATGCATGCATAATAGCGGACCCAACAATCCAGTTAAACCAGAAAACAGGTTTCAAATAAAATTTTCAGTTCAGTCACATACACACGTGCAGAAGAATTATATATATATATATACAAAGATACCCATTTATTACCGTTGTTCAACGAATGCGGTCAGAGTGAATGAACGGGAATGAGATGAATGAATAGCAGCGATGAATGAATGCAAATCATGAATGTGTTACTAAAAACTTATATTGAACTGAAATGCGAACTCGTCAGGGTTTTTGCCACCACTCGCCTACTCTCGCTGTCACTCGATGGCGACCGTATGGGGCATGGTGACCATAAATTTGGTATTCGTTAGGACAATTTGTTCTCTGATGGCGGACAGGCTTGTTTGAGGGGTGGTAGACCCCTTCTCGTGGTCATTGATGCAGTAGTTCATGGTAAACGTATTAAAGCGTTTTATTCATGTTGCCGTTCTTCGTTAAAATCAGAATTTCTCCCCGTTGCGTTTCAAAATACGTAACAGGACTATGAGGATTGGGGATTACATATGGAATAGTTCTAGGCTTTAGCTCTACCGGCGATGACTTAAAAGACTATGCTGGATATAATAAAATTATTAGAATGTTTGTATATTACGCCGAGTAAGGAGTACCCTTCATCAATCAATCAATTTGTTTTTATGCGAAGAGTTGCCAAGCGACCCGGCGGTTCACCTGATGTTAAGGGAATACCGCCGCCCATGGACATCTGCTGCACCCGAGGTTTGCAGATCCGAGCGTTTACATTCTTTTGAAAATTGCCCATTCGTGCAACAGCCGAGGCTGCTGCGTAGCCCTACCACAGTTAAATTCATAATCGTAATTTATTCGGATTAACCATGACTTTAGTTCTAACGGTCAGCGCTAACATAATTGATATAATTGAATCGTCCGAGACGATTCGCTTCATGTCCAGCGCTCTGTTAGGATGGCGACACACTACCACACATAGCGCGCCCGTCCGCTTTTTGTCGCCGCCTCGTAATTGGTTTAACAGTCTGCCGTTTGTGTCTGCACGTTTTGTGGGGCGGCTCCGGGAGACCGCTGACCGTTCCGTTAGTCTTCTTGACGCTGTCGTTCGTTACATATCGTTGCCTTTTGACCTACAAAATTGCCAACTGCCATGCGCTGAGTTCTCCATCATCCATGTACCATCGAGCTTAGGACCTCCCTCCCTCCCTCCAACTAGATACAGCGGGAAGTCGATGCTAGTAGGGGGCTAAGGATCGTGCTTCGTGTCGGTGGGGGAGGCCTTTTATATATTGAAATTGTGATGATGAAGAGATGGTAGGAACAAAAATTTCCGCAACTACGCCACCGATACATTTTTGGCTATGTATAATCTTTTCAATTGTTTAATTTAAGAGGATTGTTTGTGATTTTAGCTATACAGCGTGTCGTTACCATCGCGACAATAAATGAACAAACATATAGGGGATAACTTTTTAAAGTTGTATTAAACATTTAAATTCTTTAAACATCAATATTTACAGAGTTATTAAATTTTCCAAAACAAAGAATTTTAGAACACCCTTACCTATAAAAGCGTAACGTAAAGTTCATTTGTAAAGGTCACAAAGCATATGAATGGGTTGAATGAATTTAAAAGAGACAAAACATACTGTTAGAAAGAGAGGCTTGTAATACGACGCTGTGGCGCGAGTTGTATAGGATGTTACAAATTTGGCTACTTTTTTACTTAATTAGTTTGTTTGAAAAATATTTTTTTTTATTATGGATTTTGTTTAACGTTAATATTTTTTTATGATTATTGGCAAGTAACGTTAGACGTGTGTTCATTTATTGTCGCGATGGTAAGGACACGCTGTATATGATCTTATTATACAGTCTAGAGAAACCACGGTTCAGATCGGCCTTCCCTTAAATGATTGTGAACAATTCCAACTGTATAGCCCCATCAGTCTACTACAACATTCCCAACAATTATTCCTACATAAAACGTATCTCAATAAAACTAATGCATATCTACTTCATGTGAAGTCATCAAGCTGAATACAATAATAAAATGTAATTTGTGTGAAACTAACTAAAAGTGCTCGTACGATGCCAATTACGTAAGCAAGGTCGCCGTGCAGTTTCCCACGAACATTTGAGTCGAAAACAAAAGATAACATCTCAATGTAGAATCGGAGATGTAGACGATGCAGATATAAGTGAATGATAGAAAATTCCAGAAGATCAGAAGTATTTCGTATTAAGCGTACTAAGTCTGTGGAAGTGTATATCTTGCTGTTCTTCGTCTGATACTTCTGTATTTGTGCCTAATTTCAGGTGCCTTTGTCAGGAGTTTTGTTCTTTAGTTTTATTTTGTACATTTTCGTGATAATAAATTTGCACGCGTTTGCGTTCAAATTCTAATTATGAAATTGAAAGTAAATGTATCCAAGATCATGTCAATATCATTTACCTTAGTGGCTAGCGTTTAATTACAAAATATAAACGAAATAATCTTCATGGTGTTTAATCAATACTAATATTATAAATGCGAAAGTAACTCTGTCTGTCTGTCTCGCTTTCACGCCAAAACTACTGAACCGATTTAAATGAATTTTGGTACACATATAGTCTATTTTTTAATTGGAAAAACTTTAAAATATATGTATATTTTAAAGAAACATATTTAAGGGCTTCAACGCGAGCGAAGCGGGCGAAAAGCTAGTTAAACAATAAAATGCAGGAGATAATCTTCTCTTAAAGTATATATTTCTATGTGTATAATGAATGCATTAAAAATATTTCGTGTGACAAATCGTAATCAAGTTTCTAAACTTTCCACCTTTGTATTGTCGGCCTTTCCTCTGTCATTTAGACTATCTTCGTTATAAGTACTAGTGTTGCCCCACGCTCCAGATTCGCGTTATATTTAAACTGGTCAGTGACATGGCTCCTCGTTAACCGGTATGGCAGGAATGTATCTGAAATTTCGTCTAATCTATCACTGACAGCGTCCGCGTGGCTTCCTTCCCTTTTTGTTGTACGACGTCCGATAGAGAGGCGTGTCGCTCCGATTTCGTGTGATGTATGGCCGCGGCGCAGTGTAGCATTGTCAATTCGTCAGAGCCGATAACCGTAATGAATTATGATGTCGTTGTGTGACTATCTATAAGCTAATAAGTTATCCATCAATATTAACATTTTGTTTATAATATCCCGTCGTTTCAAACATTACAGTATTCCTTAATTCAAGACTACTACAGACACCACATTCGAATTATATAAAAAGTAAAGTAGAAAAACGAACGGTGAGATGATTTAAATTCAATGTACTTTTATATACATCTAGTTTTCGCCTAGTGGTTGCCTAGTGGTCGAAATTCGACCATAATTAAATATATGGTGGTGGTGGATTTAATGTATTGTTTATGTATAATAAAAAATAGCATTATGTTCTCCTTCTCTATATGAACTATAAGTGTGAATTTCATACTCCTCCGTCCGCACAATTTTCGTAAAAAGGCGTACAAAGTTTTTGCTTCACGTATTAATATATAGATTGTATTAAGGATATTTGAAAATGCATCTACAATGAAGGTTAAATTAACCTCCTAGCCAATTGTGGCAATAAATATTAGCTGTGATTCAATACATGTCACGATTATTTTGTGTTGATAATAACAACATTGCGCGCTGTCGACATAACAAATTATTGCTTTTATAATTAGCAAATCTTTTAGTAGTATGATCATATTAGAATCTATAGTTTTTTTACTTTTACAGTTCAGAAGATATTGCATCCTCAAAGTACAGAAAGAATAGAAAAAGGAGTTTTTTTCTTTCATATATAAAATAATATGAGCCGTTTAGGTGCCGTGTTTACAATATTTACGTATAATTGTATAATATTTACGTTCTTGCCTCAGACAAATGGCATTAAGCATATTTTGGGTGCCGGAGCCCAATTTCCAAAAAGGTAGTCAACGCATCTGCAAACCCTCGGGTGTAGCAGATGTCTATGGGCGGTGGTATTCACTTAACATCAGGTGAACCGTCTGCTCGTTTGGCAATTTTTCACATAAAAAAAATATTACAGATTTTAGATGTACTTCAATTATACTGTGACATATGCGTTGTTCAGCATAAAAAATGTGTGCGTGTACTAGCGTACACTCGTAAGAAGTGAAACTTTTTTATGACATTATTTTTCAAAAAATAATTTACTATATGCAACTTTACAGAAATTGGTTAAATAAAGTTAAATTAGATAAAGTTTAATAAAAGGCTTTTATTATCATAGACCTTGTTTATTTCAATTAACCTCACGGACCCAAAATACAACCGCTTTGAATTTGTACAAATTCAAGTACATGGTCCTTCGTTGCCGAATAGTCAGCCAGTGAGTAGAAGGCAGACATTCGACTCGCGCGCGAGTGTTGTGAGTGAAGTTTTTTTGGAAAACCGAACTTGCGGACGTTGGATCGACGTCGCAACCGCAAGTTCCAGGAGCCGATCGAGGCTTCGAAGAGCATCATCGGTCAGCTTCAGATTGTGTCTTCGGTGGAAGGTGCAGTCAGGTAACGGTGGGCGGTGCCTGCCTTTGGAGAAGAGGAAGTCGACACAGTGTCGTGCTCGAGCTAGCACTGTCATTACTACAAATATTATT